AAACCCCCCCCAAAAAAAAAAAAAAACTCTCTCTCCCACACAAACACGCACACACACACACACACACAAGCCACTCATAAACAAAGGTGAAAATGACAGCCTGTGTATTTTTAAACGTGTATAGGAATTAATAAATCTAGGGGGATTCCTGAATAACTTTATGCCTCAGATGCTCTCATATACATTATTTCATTCATTTTTTCACAATTGCTCTCTGGTAAATAATATTTATTTCTACTAAACAGATTCCATTTTACCTCAAATTCAGAGCTGAAATTATTACTTGTAAAAGGCAATAAATAAATAAGTAAATGACTTTCAGAATCCAAGTCTACTGGATATAAGTTTAATGTTTAACTTGCTATACTACTACTGCCATGCACTAGCTAAATGTATCTGCTCATATCTGTCACATGTTAACATGAAGGATATTGGGTTATTAGGAAACTCATGATGCATTTTTACATAGAAAAATATGTCACGACTTACCCAGTGTCCTAATACACATGACTCCCACCTAATCTTTAGACTAAAAGAAAAGGTAAGTCACTGTTTAAACTTGAATATTAGCCATGGTGCAAGGGAGATTTGGGGGATCTGTATGCTTGTAATTCCCAAATGATTAGTGATTAGTTTTACACTCACCTCAAGCTTCTTATCAAAATTAACAGGAGGAAGTAACCTGGCTATCCTTAGTCCAAAGCATCTTTGACTTTGATGAGCATACAGATCATCTAGGGATCTTGTTAAAATGAAGATTCTTGGTTCAGCCTCAGTGGCACAGGCGGTAGGGGCTTTGCTGTGATGCCAGAGAGCATGTCAGGGCTCCACATATGTGTCGAGGGTCTGCCTTCATGTGCTGGATTTGCCCATACTCCTGGCTGGCTGCAGTGCTGGGTGAGGTGGGGATCATGTTGTAGGGGCCCTTACAAGTGCCTACTCCATCCTCTTCATACGAAAGAAAGAAGGAAACTTTATTTTAAAAAAATGAGAATTCTGGGACCAGCAGTTAGTATAATGGTTATGTCGCTGGACTCCCACATAGTCAACCACGGTTCAAGTCCGGGACCCGGCAGCTTAAACTCATGCCAGGCACGTGTGCATGCGTGCCCAAGATCCCAAGAGGAGAATGGAGGAGAAGGGATTGCAGCGTGGCCATCACCCCTGGGGGGTGATTTCTCGCTTTCTGTCTCTCTGTCTCTCTCTGTCTTTCTGGTGAGTGCATGCGCCCT